TCGGAACGAAGTTACGGAAAATCAATTAACAAACGGAGACGTAACAATATGAAATGTAAAACCAGATGTTATGGTCCAACTTGGTTTTCATTAATTTTTAAGGTATATATATATATATAATTAACTTGTAGTAATTTTCCTTAGTTCAACTAATATTAGTAGCATGGTAAAAGTACATCGCTATTTGGTTACTACCTAAAACTTTTGAAGGTTTTCTACACAAATTTGTGTGTTTTTATTTATTAACAGGATGTCAACTGTAGATTAAAACATTATAAAGCTATCATTTTTGAATTCTTCCACCTAGAGTCACTGTAATTAAAACATCATAAAGTCATCATTTCTTAATTCTGCTATCAAGAGCCATTGTAGATTAAAACATCATAAAGTCGTCATTTTTTAATTCTGCCACCAAAAGTCACTGTAATTAAAACATCATAAAGTCGTCATTTTTTAATTCTGCCACCAAAAGTCACTGTAATTAAAACATCATAAAGTCATCATTTCGTAATTCTGCTATCAAGAGCCATTGTAGATTAAAACATCATAAAGTCGTCATTTTTTAATTCTGCCACCAAAAGTCACTGTATATTAAAACACAATAAAACCATAATTTCTTATTCTGACTACAAAGAGTTACTATATATTAAAGACATCTTTTCTTAAAGTCATCATTTCTTAGTCTGACTGCCAAGAGGTAGAGGAAACACTTTGAAACTATTATTTTTTAGTTCTGCCACCATAATACGCTGTAAACTAAAATATCATAAGACCATCCTTTATGATCCAACAGATGATATGACAATGAGGTCACCTTTAGGACTGACTCCTGGAAGCCCCCCAGTGGCACAGCGGTATGTCCGCTGACTTACAATGCTAGAAACTGGATTTCTATACCCATGGTGAGCAGAGCACAGATAGCCCATGGTGTAGCTTTGTGCTTAATTACAAACAAAGACTCCTGGAAATATATATCTATATCACTTTGAGCGTTCTTGCTTAGAAACCTGTCCTACTGAATAACTTAAGGTTATTGTTTCATATTTCAACAACCAAGAAACAACGTAGAGCTAAGAACTCGAAGATCGACAGCTAAGTGACACCATAATATAGTTTAAAAAAATTAAAATGATTCCTTCTACATTTTAAAACTATTGTGAAAACTATAAAAAGACTGATGTAAACAAAATCCAGATATGGCCACTCGGAGGTACCACATATAAACATTAATAAAAAGCTAAGTTATGGTCTGATGTAAACAAAATCCAGATATGGCCACTCGGAGGTACCACATATAAACATTAAAAAAAGCTTCATAAAATACTTGTATATTTCAGTTCTCGGTTGTCTATTTATCATGGAAATTCTTCATTAAACTATAACCATACCCTCTGTAAACAAAAGAAACTCCATGCCTTCATTTTTGTGTGTACATATAAGGACATTTATTTATGTTGTGTAGCTGTATAAAGTAGAAAAAGAATTAAGCATTTTCATTTATTAAAGTCCATGATAATATACGGACTAGAACATTTAGGCAAACTTACCCTTTTATTAATTTTGTGACGTTAGAATGCCCTGGAGTCCCCCCCCCCCTCTTACAAAGTTCACATATATTCAACTGACTGTACTCAAGGTAGAAAATAGATTTCCTTGCACTTTATTAGCTGATATTCTAAGATTTACGAAATCACTTACTACTCAATTGAAATAATATAACCCAAATATATGCATATATTTTATTTACCATTCGATAATCATGTGATTTAAATCACATATTCCTTTCGATAGATATCCATACGCGTGACGGATGTCAATGACGAAACACCACAGTTCATACCTCAACAAACTAAACGTTTCTTCTCCAAAACTGTAAAAATAATTTTGAAATTATTTACAACAGAGTTCTTTCTCAATTTTCAGTTCATAAGGTGTTTTAGTGCTTTGTCAATGGTTCTTATGATTGAGGACTTGAATGAAACATTTACTTTTTATAATTAGATGTTGTTCTTCAGACAGTGTATAGCGCTTTCAACAAGTGGTCCTATCTTTTCTCCACCAATCAAAAACACTAGGGTTTTGTCACTTTTATAATGTGCCTATAGCAACACATATATTATGCTCAATAAAAGCATACAAAATATATTTCTTTTCAATAACTAGTAACAAACAAACATACCTTCATCATTTCCAGCCAAAATCGAAAATGTCACTTCAGAATTTCTCGTAGAAGCATCGTCCGCATCGGAGGCCGAGACGAGAAGAATCGTCTCCCTCTGTTTATGGAACTCCGTTATCGTCGCACATTATATATGTTATTATTATTATTATTTCTTAACATTTCACCAGATTAATCTGGTGAAATTATTAGAACAGGGGAAAATTGAATATGAAAGAAAGGATCTGTGCATAAAAAAGGCTATGGTTCATAATAAACAACAATATATATAGGTGCCACAGATAGAGGGTAGGGCAACGGGCTACTTCCCACCCACTTTTTAAAACGTGGAGCCTGCCCTCACTTTTAACAGCAAGAGTGAGAATTTTTAACAAATCTTTTAACAGTGTGCTGTTGTAACTATGCATTTCTGTCTTTGTATCACCTATTGACAAGTTGTCTCTGCTCGGAAAGAAAATATATTTATTTCTACAATCTGAATTACGATTTCAACAGGAGGCTGAAAATTGACTATTAGGGCTAAAGTTTTGAATTGTTTCATCCAAAATAAATGTTAATAAAATTATACCAAAAGAAAATTAAAAATCTCACCAGTGTAGTTATAATATTGTTTGTAATGCTACCTTACCATAATATATTAAAAGTGTAAACCTAACTAGTGAATAGATATATTATATGAGCTTAGGTTTGCTATCTCAGCTTGATGAAAGGCAGTTAACCGAAACGTTACTTTCAATCAAATAACTTAGGGTTTCTGGCGCTGTCTATTTTAACACGTTATTTTATGCTTAACCAATGTATATGATTTGTAAAATTTAGGGCTGTTTGATATCGAGCCCATGAAGGACAACACTGCCCGGGTAGTTAGCCGTACATCTCTTCGAATGAAGACCGGAAACTTCACCCTGCTACTTAGAGCTCAGGACCATGGAGATCCTCCTCGTGCCTCGACAGAGAAATTTCAAGTTTGTGTTAAGGACGTGAATGACCATAGCCCAGTGTTCTTCCGACCCCTGAAGAATTTTACAGTCCGCGTACCTGAGGTATTCTTGCTTTTGAAACATATTAATAAACCAACTGGCAATTCTTTCTAAAGAAATTTAAATTGTGATGCTGTTCTTTCAGATTTTAAGTGATAGGAAAACGGTAATCTTCTTGGCTAATATCCTATACAATGCCTCTTTTTTAAACATTCGTTAATTAAATAACAACAAGTAACCTTTCACGGCTAGCTTCATAAGTAAAATGTAATTAAAGCGATGTCAAAATAATATGACATGATTAATGCAAAAAATATAAAAAGTTTCCTTAGATAATTAACTGACAACGAAGCTGAAAGTAATCAGAATATGAATATTCCTTTTGTAACATTCACATTGTAAATACTTACTGATCAATAACCTGGACAATACTCCTTCTGGAGCATTCAGATTGTCAGTATTTACCGAGCAACAGCCTGGACAATATCCTTTCTGGAACATTCAGATTGTCAATACTTACTGAGCAACAACCCGGACAATATCCTTTCTGGAACATTCAGATTGTCAGTATTTACCAAGCAACAGCCTGGACAATATCCTTTCTGAAACATTCAGATTGTCAATACTTACTGAGCAACAATCCGGACAATATCCTTTCTGGAACATTCAGATTGTCAATACTTACTGAGCAACAGCCTGAACAAACAGGTAGTCTCTGAATCTCAAGTACAAATGTTAACTCCTCTCCATAACAAGAAGAAATCCTCAATAGCTGAGTAATTGAAATTCTTTTAGGCAGGATTAGAGTAAATTAAGCTATTAGACCTTTTTTTCTTCTTCTTTTTTCCTTTAGCTGTGTTTTTGTGTGTCAGCAATACCAAGTGTGGGGCGTGCATATATCCATTTAGATTTTATTACTCATTAGGAACTCTACCAGCTTACCGTCAAATTGAAATTCTTTTAGGTAAGATTAGAGGAAATTAACCTATGATACCTTGGGCGTGGTCAAATAATCAATCAAAAGAGTTTGAACTCCTGAGTTCAAAACTGTAATTAGATCTCAAATCTGTCAATAGATGACGGAGCTATGTGCTAAAAGTTTGAACTTGAAAAACTCGGAGCCATTCTATGAGCCGCTATGTTGCAGCTAAAAACAACCATTCTCAGGACTACATAAGAAACATTAGCAAAGTTTAGAAGGTTTGTTCATTAATAGCCCCCCCAGTGGCACAGCAGTATGTCTGCGAACTTACAATGCTAGAAACCGGGTTTCGATACCCGTGGTGGGCACAGCACAGATAGCCTATTGTGCTTGACTTCAAATAAACAAAGTTCATTAATAATATAGAAAGGTAATCTCATTGGCTACCGACCATTACAGCTGTTTGTTTGTTTGTAATTAAGCACAAAGCTACACAATGGGCTATCTGTGCTCTGCCCACCTGGGTATTGATACCTGGATTCCAGCATTCTAGATCTGCCATGACAGTTGTATTCAAGAACAGCTGTTTGAATAACACAGAATTACTTATTGCTACTTGATTAACTTGGCATGACCTGATGCATAGGGTGCTCGATGTGCAACCTGCAGGTCGCGGAATCCCGGGTATTGAAACCCGGATTCCAGCATTCTAGATCCGCCATGACAGCTGTATTCAAGAACAGCTGTTTGAGTAACACAGAATTAATTATTGCTACTTGATTAACTTGGCATGACCTGATGCATAGGGTGCTCGATGTGCAACCTACAGATCGCGGATTTGATTTTCCCATTGCTGAAAATGTTCGCCTTTTTAGCCGTGGGAGCGTTATAATGTGATGGTCAGTCCCACTATTTATTGGTAAGAGAGTAGTTCAAAAGATGGCGGTGGGTGTTGTTGATTAGTACTGATTTTTCACTGCTAAATTAGGAGCAGCCACCAGGATAATACACATAAGCATCATTGATGATGCCTCAGCATCGAAGGTGCCCAACAGACTTAAGCGGTCCTAGGTCACAAGAGAAAAAAAAGACTAATTTACATTATACCTTTTTGATTGGAATTCCTAATAATGAGAAAACAAAAATAAGCATTGTCAAATCCGTTAGATACAGAAGTGAAAGAACTCCAGAATATTCATGGGATTTTGTTTTGATCATTTCTCCACTAAATTAGAGTTATGTAAAAGCCCTGGGAGGTTTTAGTAGTTTTCATTTTTACTTCATTATGAACTTTTTCTTTAATGTTAACACTAATAATCTTTACATTCCTTATTATTTTCTTGTGTTTCAAATAAATAACCCCTCCCCAATGACTTAGCGTTAACTTGCAGGCTTAAGATTCTAGCCTAACAACAACCAAACCAAATGAATAAATAAATGATTTTTTGGTGTGTTTACTCTTTCTATAATGTCAGAAGAGATTGTTGTTAGGTGTCGGTTCAACGCCAATATGACAAGATCAATAAAAAAATTGGGAATTTAAAAACTTGCAAATAGGGATCGTAAAAAAGAAGTAAGGAAACGAGGCTGGAGATATTGTAGACATAATTTACTCAAACTATAAACCCCTATTTTGGCCACATGCTGTGACCTAGAATTACATTT